TCTTCCGGACAAAAAAAAAAGAAACTTTTTATCTTTTCGTTTTCTTCCAGAAAAATATTTGTCTAAGATATTCTAAATGGAAATTGTATTTAAATAAAATTATATATATATATATATATATATAATTCAACAAAGAATGAGATAACTCGATCGAAAAGACAAATATAAAATATTATGAATTATTGTTATGAATTTCTTGTGTATATGAATAATTTAGAATATATTGAAATGTCAAATAATATCTTGATTATATCTTTAAATATTTTTTAAAACTAATTTTTGCAATTTTTAATAATTTTTCTTGTTTTTTTTTTTATGTATCACTCGGTACATATAAGCGTGATCAACTTCTTATAAATTTACATTAATCAACCATAATATATATTATTCTCGAATCCTTTTTTAAAATAGTGATTTTGAGAAAAATAATAAAGTTGATAATACATGGATTTAAAATATTATTTACTTTTTGAAAATTCCAAAATTAACGATAAAATGTTCAAGAGCAGATGTTAATCACCTTAAAACTTGTAACGAGAAGAAAAATACCTCTAAGTAGCTAGTTTATAATTGTAACCACTAAAAGGTTCATTGTATTTGAATAGATTAAAGTATAATATTTTTTATATAGAAGATAGTGTAAATTTTAAAATAAAAAAATAGATTAAATATTTGTATTCTCAATAACAAGTTAGTTTTAATTATTTAATTTTTCTTAATTTTGATCTTCATAAATTACATTTATTTATTTATTTAAATTGCCCCTATCTTTATTTAGTGAAAATATAGCATGCATCTAGTTACACCATGTTAGTGACGATGCTATGTAACATATTTAAACACATACCACATCATCAAATATTGGCAATAGAGACTACTTTAAAAAATTAGGCAAAAACCAAATTTAAATATATTTACAAGGACTTAAAAAAATATAATAAAGATGTAATATATTATTAATTTATATAAATTAATAATATATAATATTTAAATAAAAATATATAAATTAATAAAAAAAAGTGTATAAAAAGTATTTAATTGTTTCTTTATAAATATATACAAATCTACGATATATCAAATCTTAATTGTATTTTTATTAATTATCATATAAAAATTTAGAGTAAGAGAATTAATTTAAATAATTAGAACTTAGAAAGGTTAAAATTGCTCTTAGATTAAACTACAGATAATAAACGTGTGAGAGATAAGGCAATATTAGTATGTCTAAGCAAGAAAATACAATTTACCTTGAAAAAGAAATATTAACCTTTAATGCATGAGCACTGCATGTCAGAATCTTGTGACGAACATGTTCGAAAAATAAAAGTTACATATTTTCAAATCAGAGGGCAGTAACACAATTGACATGAACATAAAAAGAGTGTCAACAAAGTCCATGGAATGAATCATCAACACCAACCCTGTGGCCACCTATTTTTAGGATCCAGTCTTGGTATCCATCTTCTCTTCTTTGAACCCAATGTAATTGTGTTCTCTTTCCTCAGAAATCTTAGCCTAAAGAGAATTCCTCTACCTCTCTTTCTCTTGGTACGGTGTTCCTTTTTTGATGCAACTGTCTCAGATGAGTAGTTCAGAGAGTAGTCATCATCAGCTTGAAAGATCTCATCGCGGGTTCGGGTGGTGTTGAGTCTTGTATACTTCTGTTCAAGTGATTCCTTGGGTAGGTTCCTTGCTAGCAAAGGAGATGCACCACCCCAATTATTTGTGCCCAAAGATGGGTGTTGTGGTGTTCTAAATTCCAATAGTTCTCCTAGTCTCTGCCTCATGCTTCTTTCTTTGGCACCTTAGCATCCATTTTGTATTCGACCCTATCTATGCTATCTTCTTATTTATATATGTGCTGAAAGTTTCAAGGACCCCTAGGATTCTTCTCAACGTTGTAGATTACAACACCCTCTTGCCAAGCAAATATGCTTAACAACAAGTTTAACATAATGTCACCAAGAGTTTGTTTGATAAGGTAATTTATATTTTATTTAAGAATCTGTAACTTATTTTATTGGTCAAAAAGTTATTAGTTACTTTTAACTTCTATTCTTAACTTTTAAATAATTTTAATTCTTTTTTTCTTCAGTCATTTGACAGCTAACTAACTGCACATCTAATTTTCCTAGAGATAAATTCAATAAATTAGTTAAGTTATTTTATATTTTTATTTAAATTTTTTATAATAAAGTTTACTAATTAATATTTATTTTCCTATCACATAAAGAAGACTTCGTCACTTAATTTTTTTATGTAATATAATATTATAAATTTAAATTATCACTTTTTTTTTCATTCTCTCAATTAATACATTTTTTATGTAAGATTTCTTTCTTCATTTTTGCATAGTATGGACCTGAATACTAGAATAATATAAACTGTAACGAAGCAGTTCAATTTTTGGGGAAGTGATTCGGAATTGAATCATTTGATAGTATCTAGGATTCGAAGGAAGCGACCAAAGGAAGAAGAAGAAGAAGAAGGATCAAAACTTTAAACTCTGTAAATAATAACTCAATTGCGACAAAACGACGGCTACTTCAACGATGGATAATGTAAACTTGTGTTTATATTTTATATTAAGTGAAGAAATAGGATAAGATGGCAACTCAGTGGAACAAACTATGTTCTTAACTTGTGTTTGTGTGTTCGTCCAAGCTTATTCACAAATTCAATATTAGAAACTGCGAATATATTCTTAGTTGATGCATATTCAGAGCCCACCCCTTCTCCTCTATGCCCTGAGGCCTCATTTAGCCCAATATGCAACTATTGGAGCCCACATGAGCACGATGATGAGTTAGACGCGGTTGTGATGGTGCCTTTTTGGAGGCTTCAATTTATGAGTACTAAAATAAAACTACGACTAAAACTCAGTTTGAAAATTAAAAAATAAAAATAAATAATTTGTTTGATTAAAAGAAAATTCTGATTTCATTATGTATTGGACTACGTGTTTTTTTTCTTATTTTGAATTAGATTAATCTATATTTCATTATCAGATCATTATCTAAAACTCATACTGTTATAAGAATTTTTCTTAATTCCTGGAAATCGAAGCCATCATTAAAGACTTTCTTAACTTATTGCAAATTATACTTTATTAGTAACTTGTTTTTTTTTATACTATAATTACCAAAAGATCATCATCAACTATCATTATCGACTCAACTTTATGCATCTATCAATTTTTTTTTAATTATTTTATTATCAATTTATATTTACATCAGATACTAAAACACCCTTTAAATAAAAACTTAAAGATGAAGAAAGGTTACAAAAAAATTTGGTAAAAAAAATAATTTAAAAAGTCAAAATGAATTATAACAAAGTTAAGAGGCTAAATTAAAATTCAATTAAACTTATAAAACTAGATTGAATAAAAAATTTAAAAATCAAATTAAAATTTTAATTAAATAACAAGACAAAATCTATAATTTAACCTAAAATCAAATAAGAGAAAATGAAATAAAATAGAGAATAAAATCTAAAATTTAAATAAACAAACAATGAAGTTAAAAAAAGTAGGTAAAAATTGCTTCTCAGAACTATACTGTTCTCAATACATAAAATAATAATTATAAGAATTTCATTTCAATACACTTATACTATTATATACTCAGTCATCAATTAACATATCACTCAGAATAATTAATTTTTATAATAATTAATATAAAGATTATGTTTGTTATATAATATAATTTATTGATAATATACACTTTTTTACACTAGCAACACACTAAAATTAAACTTTAATAATTAAAGAATGATTTACCTACACTTTTTCTGCATCAAATATATATATATATATATATATATATATATATATATATACTACTTATTTTCCACCAATATAATGATATTTCTGATTCTTTTCTCTATTCTTAGTCTTAGGCATCACATTAAAAATACTGCTGAGTAAATGCAAGATGCAAAAAGATTTTAAAGACAAAATTTAAGTATAATTTTTAAATATTTTTGTATTATTGTTTAATCACAATTGAAATTTTACCTAACTTCATAGTTTATGTTGACCTTAAATGTTAATTTTTGTTTTGCAAGTTAGTAAGGTAAAATTTATATTCAATTAAAAAATAGTATCAAAGTTATTTAAAAATTGAAATTAAGTTTTGTAATTTTTTTTCAATATCATTTTATGAAAAAATGTAAATATAAATTTTTAATAATAATTCTAAATATATAAAAAAAGATTTATTATAATAAATATTTTAATTTCTAATGAAAACTAAGATTAACATTATTTTCAAGAATTAATGTTAACAAAAATTTATATTTTATCGTGAGACATAATTGTTAAAACAACCCTGCCCATACCATGCAACAAGTCCTTCTCACAGTCCTATACACCACCGATAGTTTTGCATAACAATAATGATTGGTTCATATCCTTTAATGGGGTATGAGGTGAATGAAAGAAAGAGAGAAAAAAATGATAAATAATATAATAGAAAAATATAAAAAATAAACGTGAGAAAATCAGAACTCTTCTACGTAAATACGGTGGCGTTCAACAGTTCGTCCAACCTTGTGTACGATTGATTGAATGAATACTTTTGAGCCTTTGACATTGCATGTTTGACTCACGTGCGCAAATTATATACTAGTTATAAATCCTAGGAACATTTAATGAGGACTAGGTCGAATCATTTGTTTCTTTTAATTAACACCATCTTCTCATAATAAAAAATTCAACGACATCCTCCTTGTCCACTATTCTTAACAAAAACATTTCTTATTCACTCCCAATTTGAACAAAGTTATTTTATAAGCCATTTGGTCATCTTACAAGTCCTGTACGCTTCCCTTTTCTTAATTTCAAAACAATGGAAAATGTTCGACAATCAAATTTAGTCGAGTAAAATTTATCATCACACTTTTCATTGGATATATATATATATATAACGTTCAAGGCACTCAAACCTTCCATTCAGAAAGTGAAAAATAAACACACAAACGTTAATTTTGGTCCTACAATGGATTTTGATTCTTCAAAATGCTCGTACCAAAGTGTAGAATCCTTTTCTAGTGCATGGGAAGAGTTGTTTTTGTTCAATAACCTAACCTTCAATTCAGTGAAGGAAACGTCCTCGGACTTAAAATCTTCATCCTCCAGTGGAGGAAACCTATCACTTCAACCAAATGGCTCAAATTCAAAAGGCCTATCAAAATCACCAGCATGCAAACGAGAGAAGAGACCCTACAGGGGAGTAAGAAGAAGGCCATGGGGAAAATTCGCAGCAGAAATAAGGGACCCGACTAGAAATGGGGTTAGAGTGTGGATTGGAACATTTGACACAGCTGAAGCAGCTGCTTTAGCTTATGACCAAGCTGCTTTCTTGACACGTGGCTTTCTAGCTACCCTTAACTTTTCAGAACAAGTAGTGAGGGAGTCCCTCAAAGACATGGGCTTCAAGACATTGAAAAAAGATTGCTCACCCGTGTTGGAACTCAAAAGGATGCACTTGATGAGAGCAAAATCTAGGGCCATAAGGAGTAGTAATGATAAGAAGGTTAAAAGGACTTGCATAAGTGGCCAACTAGACATTACTCAAAATGTGTTGGTGTTGGAGGATTTGGGTCCTGAATATCTAGACCAACTTCTGAGCTCCACTTCCCTTGAGAATGTCGGTTCTTGGTACTGATCATGAAATAGCGTCACTGTTTTCCGGAAGAATTTAAATAACAAACAATTTATTCGTTCAAACTCGTCATAGCTTGATTTTAATCTTTTTAGTTGTCTCCTTAATCAATTCTTTCATTTTCTTCTCAAGTTGTATCTTAAAAATAAAATATATCTCTTACGCTTGTACATTGCTCAACGATGATAATGATAGCCACCTTCACATATGACTAAACCAAATCTATACAACTCTCGTCCAGCATTTTAATTTTGAGATTTTAAAATTTTTATATTAATATACGATTTTTGTTTTTATTGAATACTATAATCCTTGAAGCCACACGTTATCAATAAATACTAATAAAAAATGACATATATATAAATACTAATAAAAATGATATATGTAATTGATTGTGTAATAAAAATATATTATATATCGTGTGAGTGGTATAAATTTTTATTTTATTTTAATTATTGATGTTGTTAATATTAAAGGTTTAACATTTTAAAAACTTTTCATCTATTTATCTTTTTTTTCATTTTTTCTTAATATTATTATTTTTGAAAATCACCATTATCGTTTTTCATCATATTCTTCCAACTCTGATCAAGGTCAATTTAGACGATGATGGTTTCAGCAAAGTGATTTTCATTAATGTTAATGTTAAAAGAATGAGAAAAAAAATAGTGATAGATGAAAGATTTTATAGATCTTTAATTTCACGATGTTATTATTGTGATTTATAAGAATAGTGATTTTTGACAAAAGATAATTTTTTATATCAGCAAACATAGACGGTGACATATGATATTAGTTTTCAACAATAATAATGTTAAAAAAATGAAAATAAACAAATAAATAAATAATTTTAAGAATATAAAAATTAAAATATCTTATTCTAATAATCTTAAAAGACTAAAAAATTTTATACTAACTAATATATGTTCAATCAGTATGTTAAAAGTTAATTTCACCGTAATGCGGATCATATTGCCACAATCACAAAATTATTCAGATATATATAGTTTTAAAAGACACTAATGTAATAATTCATAGTATTTTACATGAGAGAAAGAATGTTTTAATCCTATTTGATGATCAAAATATGTTTTTTTTCTCATATATATATATATATATATATATTATTTATTTGATATCATATATTTTTAATTTTATCAAATTCCTCTCAAATTTTAAAAAAAAAGAATATGAATAATAAAATAGAACAAAATAAGTTTCATGAAATTTTATTATATTTTTATTTTATCAATCTAAACAATTAATACAATATCAATTCGTACCATTCCTCTCCATGTCATTATTTTTTACCAATACAGACAAAATCAAAATCACATTACTTTTTTCTTTTCAAAGTAAACCAACTAGTTTATATATGGCAATTTGAGCATTTTAATAAAATAAATTAAAAATAAATTTAGAAAAAGTTATGAAGTGTTTGTAAAATGAAATAAATACCTATTAAATCACTTAAACATCTTAAAAATCAAAGGAAATAAAATATTTCGGTTGAATTATAATACAAACAGGACAAGACAAGATAGGTAAACAAAATATAAGTGGTGGTTGTAACGTTTCGAGTTTTGCAATAATATTTTGTTTATTAATATAAATTGTGGATTCCTATTTGAATGTGTATTTTGATTTATGTGATGATGATGTGAATATATGTGAACATATGTGTGTATGACCATGTGTAGATAGACACGTAAATGTGTATTGAAGATGTTTGATTTGCAATTGGGTTGGATTGATTGGAAACCTAGGTTAGTGTGTACTGCAGGGGCATTCTCGCTGTAGCGAGAAGGTCCAGGACAAGTTTGGGATCTCTGTTGCATTCTCGTTGTAGCGAAAAGACAACAAAGAGAGGTAATTTTCTGGCACAGTCTTGCTGTAGCGAGATTATACAAAAATTAGAGTGCAATTTGGTCTGATATTTTTGCTATAACGAGGAGTCTCGCTATAGCAAGAGTATCGTGAATTCTAGTCTATTTAAGGAATTTAGGGTTCGAGAAATTCATTTTTCACTTTTTCTCTCATCCCTTCTTTGATTCTCTCGATCCCCAACTCATTTTCATCAATTAAACTACCTCCAAAGTCGTTTGTGTGTAAGATTGAAGGTTGAAATCATGTTTGGAACGTTTGGAAGTAAGTTTTATGAACTAGGATTTTGGTTTTCGTCCCTTTTCTTTGTTTTCTCGATTTCTAATAGAGTTTTCTATGTGTTTAAGATGAAAATCCATGTAGAAAGTAATTCCATTGTTGCTTTTGTGTTGGGTCTTCATTCTGATGTAAGGAGGGACTCCAGCCTATCTCTTTGGGTTTGAAATTTGTTTATAATGATAGATAATAAAATGTAGTTGAAATAGAATGTAGGAAAACGTGTAGTTTTAATGGAAATTCATATGAAGTATGGTATGATAATTATTGGATGATGTGTGTGATGGAATGAATTTGATTAACATAGGATTATGATGGAATGGTGGTATGTTTGAGTGTAATGTGGTTGATTATGTGTGTACATACAATGTGTGAAGATGAAAACTATTATATGATAAAAAAAAAATGGGTAAATGTATGTGTTGACATGCTGGTTGATGATGACTAATATGAAACGAGTGAGAATATCTGTGAATGGCATGTCATGTGTGATTGTGATTATGATTAACATGTTAAAAACTATGAATGATTACAGCAATATACTAGGGGTGTAGAAGATAGGGACAGTAGAAATACCTTCAGGAAGAGAGAGTGGTGGTGACACCAACAGTGGGCGTGGGTACATCACAGGTCACACACTCTCCTCCTGACTCGACCTCGGACTAACGTCTTTGCTAAGGGGCTGATGAACGCACACGTTGTATCCGTGAGGTAGGGGTTAACTGGCGACCATCCATGTTATGAAACTGAGTAAGTCCCTGATGTTAAGGGCATCAAGAATCTGTGATCATAGTGTCACAGTAAGCGTAACTAACGTGCAGTGAACGCACGTGTGCGGGTGGAATGTTTGAAAAGCATGAATGTATATTGTTTGATGCATGATTTGAATTATGTTAGAAACATGCAGAATAGGTGAGTTTTAATGCTTGTATGTGTGATAGTGCAAAGTACTCACTCTTATATTTATTTTTCAGGTGACCAAGACGATCAGCACCAGACTTAGTAGAAGGGATGAATAAAATTGTTATAGGACTTCGAAAATTTATTTTTAAAAACTGTGATGTGTTGATAGGTTATGTAGCAATGATTTGATTCAAAATTTGTAATTCATCCTTATTTTAAAATACTTTGTTAGAACTACGTATTGGAAACAATTTGAATGAAAATTTTATTATTTTCACTTATTGCAAAATTTATTTATTTAAAAAATTAAATTAAAGTGTTACAATAATAATATTAGAGCAGACCTCTCTCTCAGTATGGTATGGTTCAAGGATGAACCAAACGGAAGCTGGTGGGCATGTGACACCCAAGTGCTAGGCGAGGGCAGAGAGTATAATATGGCACGGACAAGGAGCGGCTACCTGATAGACTTCTAGTAGTAAATGACACATTAATGAATCAAACTTATACCGAAATGAGAGAGATTCAGAGGCTGTGTAGGTATAGGATTATATAATTAAGGATATCTTAAAGAAATTAGTTAGGACTACCTATACCAACAAAATGCATTTACTTTTCAGTAACCTATCACTTAATAAATCTAAAGTTAAGTGTGCTTAACTTAGAGTAATTATGGGTACTAAATGAACATTTTTATATTTATAATGCTTTGTATGTTGCAACATCTAAACACATTAGCTTTAGGACTGTCGACACGATGCTTCCTTTGCATATGTTTTCTTTATTTATTTTCTATTCAAAGTTTGAATCAAAGTCGACGGCATATTACTGGCCTAAATAATAAGAAGACAATCTCATCGCTACTTATACATGGAGGAAGCTCGTATTAGTTTGAACAAAATAAAAAAAAATTATTTGAATAATACCTTAATTCAATATTTATTTAATAAATTTATATTAAGCAAATAGTTTAAATAAATTTGAATAAGAAGCTTACATTAAAAGAGCTTATTTTGATAACTTATATAAAAAGAGTTATTGAAATAAATTTAAAAAAGCCTATGAAACTTCAAATTATTTTTATAAACTCTATATTACAATAAAACAAAAATCTGATAATTTTACGTGCTTCTGTACCATCACTAAGTGTTTTTTATAAAATCCAACCGACTTGATGTTCTAACTGATTTGGCTTTCAATTTAATCTTTGAAATCAAATCAAACTAAATAAAATTAAATCCATAATTTTATATGTTGCTATCATTTATGGACTTATATATGTTTAAATTTGTGATATAATGGCTTTGCTGTGAAAGTTTGTAGGTTAATCTATTCTTTATATTTTTTTTCATGATGCTTTTATTAAAGTTTTTAAGAGATTGGTGATTAATTAAGACATCAAAAGAAAAAAAAGGAATTTTAAATCAAACCAAACGTAAAATTCGAGTTCATTGAAAATTATATTTTACAAATATTCGTTGAACCAAACCGGTGAAAATGAATTTTATCTGGTTAAGTAACTAACTAAAAAAAAGATCACTTTTTAATTTTTTTTTAAAAATGATAAATTTAATTTGATGAACTTTTTAAAAAAAAAAATAAACCAAACTAATTAATCATGAAATCCTATCTAACAATTTTAAACTCTAACTTATATTTTATCTTGTCTAAAAATTAACCGTCCAAGTAGATTGTTCCTAATAGGTTGGATTAATCATTGGGCCAAAACATATCTTTATAAATATTTAGATTGAATCTTTTAACTATATTAATTTTTTATGTTAAAAAAAATAAGTTAAAAGACGTAAAACTAAATATATTTGTGATGAGTTTCATCATGTTATAAAATAAAAGAAAAGTTTAAATTTATATAAGCCTTAACTATACAGACACCTTAATTATTATACTATTGCTGTGATTATGAAGTCTGTCTTTTTTTATTTTAAGAGCCAGGCTAGCCTGCTTAGCTAATACTAACTCACGAAGTGCAAGACTAACAAATTGTCAACCCACGATTAAATTGACTCAACTCAAAATTACTTTGACCAAGAACATGAAGACAACCATGACAACTATAATCATCTATTTTTCTATTTCTTCTATTTCTGAAGCAACTGTTGAGTTCTGTAGTAGTGAATAACAGCCATTGATTATTTTGGCACTTATTTCCATTGAAAAAAAAACCTAGGTAAATGATTGATTTGACCGAGAGAATTTTTATTTGTAACACTATTTCACAACTACTTTTACATTTAAGATATGAAAAAAAAGGAGAGGAGCATAAAATATGATGTGTGATGTGATTAAGAGAAGAAAAAGGTAAAAAGAGAGAATTATAAATAGATACTATAATAAAATGTGTATAAGAATAAGAAATTAATTTTAGTACACTATTGGTGTAAATATTTTTATACGTACTGTTATCTAATTAAAATATGTTATAAATATAATTAATTATTACAGAAATTAACAATTCTCACTTATATAACAATTATGATTGTGTTGCACTATAAATATTTTTTTATATTATTACTGTACTTAAATTAAATTTTAAAATAATATAATTTTTAATTATTTCAGCTTAAATTTTAATAAATAAAGAATAATAAAACATTTTCAATTAAACCAACGTTTTCAATCTTCCTATACGTTATCAAATCAGCAACGAAAATAACGTACTATACAAAGACAGGGACAAAAAATAATGAAATATGAAACAACAGTGATATTCATATATTTATAAAATATTTTGGTTCTTTTTTTCTGGTTTCGCATTTTTTTAGTTTTCTTTTTTCTTCATTTTGACCTTGGTTAAATTACTTCGTAAGACAAGTAACTTCATCTTAAATACATTAATAAAATTTTTAAAAAATATTATATTGATTTTGTAGTTTATTTTTTATGAATAAAATCTCATTAATTCATTTAAGATTGAATTATTTATCTCATCATAGGTAGCTAAACCGAATTCTTTTGCCTCCCTCTAAAAATGAGGTGTATAAATAATATTATTGAGTGAGAAAAAAGTGGACGGAGTGTGTCATGAAGGCAAATAATTAATCATGGCCACGAACATAGACGATGAAGTTAATGTTGTCATTGTTATTATTTCACACTTCACAGCCATACCAATCAGATATCTTCAAAGCAATTAACATGAATTCTCCTCTCTTTCAACACTCAGACTGGCCATGGGGCACGTTGAAGGAGCCATCAGAAACTTTGTCTGAATCATTTTCAAGCAAAGGTAATGATTATGACCCAATTCATGACTCTCTCTCCTTTGATATGATTGACTACTCAAGGGATCCACAGCCACCAAGTGATGTTATTGAAAGGCAACCAAAGCTATTGCTGTTGAATTCTGAAGCTAAAGAAGTGAAGACTAATAAGAAGTCTTACGTAGGGGTGAGAAGAAGACCATGGGGAAAATTTGCAGCAGAAATCAGAGACACAACTAGGAAAGGAAGAAGGGTTTGGCTTGGAACCTTTGATAGTGCTGAGGAAGCTGCTTTGGCTTATGATCAGGCTGCATTTTCCATGAGAGGTTCAAGTGCTGTCATGAATTTTTCGGTCAAAAGGGTTCAAGAATCGTTGCAAGAGATTAACTATGTTGGTTCCAGACAAGGGTGCTCTCCAGCATTAGAGCTCAAACAAAAGCACTTTATTCGAAGAAAATTGTCATCAAAGGCTAAGAAAAGTAAAGGGCAACAGGAGTTGGAGGAATCGAGTGTTGTGGTGCTGGAGGACTTGGGAGCTGAATATCTTGAGGCACTTTTAAGCACATCAGATCAAAGTGCAAGCTCTAGCTGCTTACAATAATTCTCTTTTTACAAGGTTTAGAACATGTTTGTTTTTAAAAAGAGTTTTCTTTATACTTGTTCTTTTTTATTTTCAGATAAAGCAAAATATATCAATCAAGTGTCAGGAGTATTACTTCAACTCATCTACATCACTCTCTTACTGTTTACAGTCTCTTTATATCATAGCATCCTTAAATCTATACATAAAGCAGAACTCACCTGCCCCTTTTTTTCCAATATTTGAATAAGCTAACAATAAGATTGCTGTTCCATTCCACAAATTACATCTTGTCATTGTTACATTTTTCTTTTTATCCACATCCAAGTACTTTAATCACATCCAAAACTGCTTCAGCATCGAAGACCATGTGCTTGAATACGTTTCGGTTCCTTCATGTCCAAATGCACTATATTACTACCATCCAGGTAGCAGACCAGAAACAAAATGTTACCGTATTAATTTAGGTGCATAGCGAAACACGAATGTTACCATCCAAACTACTACTTTTTCTTTTATCTCTAAGCATCAATCTATAGCCTTTCATTTCTTTAAATTTCACATTTTACTGAAGAAATGGTAGTTTTTTTTATTCAATCAATCATTGCGAATTACGAATGTTTCATCTACTACGAAAGTAATTGTTAGGAACGATTAATTCAATTGATTATTACCTATTAATTTAGGTTCATTATCAACCAACATAGAGCGACGAAATTTGTTGCCTTTCGAAGTTTAGAAGAGCATCAACTGTTAACGGAGGCTCTTCTGGAGTTGAATTTGAGTTATTTTCTTATATAGAGCATATGTATCCATGCAATTAAAAAATAATAATATATTTTGATTTATCCCATGTGTCGCTCCCCCGCTTTCTGTAAATTTTATTTGTCATCTGGCAAAGCAAAGAAGAACTTTTACGGTCACAGCAGCCATAGAAAAAGTCTTTAATGAGCAAAAACATAAGCTTTTAGAGAAGGGATATTAAAAAAAATCAAAGGAGCGTCGTTAAACTCATCGAGAGATTAATTAATATAAGAAAAATGCTAATATCAATTTTAAAACTGAGTTCAAAGAACTAATAGTAATAAAATTTTATTAAAAAAAATATTTATTACACTTGTATTACTCTGATGAATACCCGAACCCAACGAAAGCGCAAACTGACGACAATTACACGCGAGGTATCCAAAATTATGCTACAACATCAGATTTTGTTACTCATTTTATAAATTAGAAGAATTAGAAATGTTCAAAGCCATAAATAAAGATATGGTCCTCAACTAAATCTATGTATGGCAAGGACACCACATTGAGTCGTTCTGCTCATATATTAACCGTTAATTAAAGAAAATTGAAGAGAATACCGTCAACATTAGTTAACACAGTATTTCTAAAATCACCTAGTATTTTTATACAATATGCAGTGGAGACAGCAATATGTTGGTTATTGAAAGAGATTCAATAAGTTGTGTGATATATATAGCTGAATTTACTTACAGTGAAATAAAGTTTGATTATTTATGGGTTGTGGCACTTGAGAGAGGACTGCATTGTTAGACATAGGATCAATTAATCAAACCCAATAGATGGAGGTATACAGACCTACCCGTTAGCTGATACATTCTCTCATTTGGATAAATACTAGTATTTCCTTTCTTTATTAAGCAAGAAAAGAAAATAAAGATTGCAACTTTCTTCACAGAATGCAGGATAAAAATTTATTTTATTTAGACAAGACATACATATTACACACATCAATCTATTCCATTCCAGGTACTGTATCCGCGTGTACATTCTTTCCTGAAAATCTTCCCTTTTCTGAAAAGACAGCTAGCTTCAGAACTGTATATATAAAGTGCATAAAAATTGGTATGGCATTGAGAGCACGAGTCCAAATCCTCTGCAGTACTCCGCACAAAAAAGCCTATGATGTTTTCTGTTTCATATAACTATAAAATATTATAACTCTGCACTGCTTCAGAGAATTCGGATCCATAGAAGAGACTCCGATCGTGCAAATCTGGACAATTTGGCCATTTGCAATTCTCAATGATTCCCTCCCTACTCACTCATAACTTATGTGAGAAAAATTCAAGATGATTTCAATTTTAGGATATCTACAATTTATTTTTTGATAACAACATTCAATTTACGGGCAATTTATTTTTCAATCGGGAGTAAAATTCACACCTGTAATTTCTGTTTGCTTAAATATTTTTATTTTATTTTTGTCTAAAGTTAAACAACATGAGGTTTTTTCAAGTCTAAAAGACTTTGTTGTGAGAATTTTACACGTAATAAAATATGAACAATTGAGATTTAAGATGTTAATAATTGTTAAATAATATTTGGCTTGAATATATAGAAGCCTTTGGACACTCTTTTGAACAATTACTTGTGCACTATAATTTAACTGTAAATGTTTTAAAAATATTGTTTTGAGTTACTAGAAAGATAATAATAATTATTTTAAAAAATGTTTAATTTAAACATTTAAAAAAAAAACTATCTAATAAATATCATATTTCTTAAAATATTTTATTTGAAAAAATGATATAAACAAAAACACATACATATAGCATGGGTGTAGTTGAAGCTCAAGTTTAAGAAAAAAATAATATCCACACCAATTAGAAATAATTTGTTTGAATTAGAACATATATATATATATATATGAAAAAACATAAAAATATTAAAATTTACTATAATAGTCACATAAATTTTGAGAACCGCTTTTTTGATAAAATTTATCTTTATTACATAATCATATAAATCTTTATTTTTTCACATATATTGGTGAGGTTAATTGATTTTCAATTATTTAAATTTAATACTTGAGTGGGTTTAAATTAGACGTTATCTTTTATTCAAATTAATTCGTTATTTTGTTATTAGTTTAAATTGAATTGATTGGAACCGTAGATAAACCCATATATACTCGCTTACACCCCAACATATGTAAGTGCATAAACGAACCTATCCATAAGTTAAATTAAGGTGCGCGCAGTTATAAATTTCAGTATAGATACTGTTATTTTGATTTGAATCAAATGGATTCAATTATATAAATAAATAACTAAAAAAATTAAATCGAATATAATAAAACTCAACTAAGTTTGAGTAGATTTGTAATTACACGTAATTTTAATTAAAAGAATTGCATAAATAACCCATTCATATATTTAAACTTCAAAAATAAATAAATAAATAAGTAAACTATGTTTTAGTCATTCCGAAAAGATGACGAGAGTAAATTTATTCGGCAAAGACAACATTGTTAATACTTGCGCAAGTATTATACATTAAAAGAATAGATCAAATATATTATTTGTAATATTTTTATTTTTAGATAAAATATATTTTAAATTATAATAATTATGTGAAACTTTTTCAATTTATTGATTTTAACTCATATATTTATAATTTAATAAATATTGATTAATAAAATAAAGTATTAAGTAAAATGGTAGGTAAACGACACTCAGATTTGTCAATTAATTAGCCAATCCTGAAAACGCCCCCATCGAAAGGCATAACGAATTCATTGATGTTGTCGAAGTGGGACACATTTCCAAATCTCATCCCATGCGCTCATATTCTTTTTGTAAAAACAAAAACACATTAACAAATGTTCTAAAAATATTGATTAAAATAAAAAAAATTATTAACAAACTGTATTTATGTTATATTTTTTATAAAAAATATTTGTAAAATTTGTTAATAAGTACCGTACGGACACCAAAAATAAAAAGAAACGTACTATACTGGTTAAGCGCACCGACTTTCTCTATTTTAAAATGTCATATAATCTATTATTTTATAATATTTATTCAAAAATAGAAAAAGAAACGTACTAACAGCTGTTACAGTATTTGCTTTTATTAAATATTAATATAACAACTTAGGGATAGTAATAGATAAAATATTCAATAGACATTCATAAAATTTAGTACAATATATTTTTTTTTTACTAAATACTAATATAATAACTTAGGGATGACAATGTGTAAAGTATTCAATGGGCACCCGCAAAATTTACCCATAATAGGTAAGGTATTTACCTTCTATACAGGTACGGGTATGGGTATAGGTAAAAACTTGTAAATTTTAATGGAGATGAGTACGGGTATAGGTATCTAAGTACCCACCCCGCCCCATACTCGCATATATATATATATATATATGCTTGAACTTTATTCTACAATTATGCATTAAATTTTTGTATTATTATATTACTTATGTGAAGTTATATAAGATTAATATAAAAATATATTTAATAATAAAGTAAACTAAAAAATTTATTTCGGTTTATATTTTTAATAGAAAAATTTATTTACTATTTTATATCATTTAATTAGGCTAACACAATTTAATTATTACATAATTAATATGAGATTGACTTTTTTTAAAATATTATTTATATATGACACACATAAAATATTTTTTACACAAATATTTTTGTTAATAAAATTGTATTGATGTTTAAATCATAAAGTGAATGATAAATAATAAATATATTATAAATATTTTATAAATTTTACAATCACCTACTATTACCGTAAACTTATTATTTATTAATAATATTTAAATTTTTTTTTATATTTTAATTTAAAATAATATTTTTCTATGTAACATATGTATTACAAGCACAACTATAATCTATTGAATCTAAATAATATTATTCTTACTATTTATTCACATTCAAAGAAGTTTTTGAAAAGATATAAATATAAAAAATTATTATTAATTTTTATTTGTTAATTTTTTTAAGATAAAAAAGTATAATTTTTTTAATATACACGTATATTTCTTTATTATAAAATTTTATTATAACTATTTATCTTTTATTGAAATTCTTTTTTTTTAATTTATATACATTATAAATATTTAATTCACTAAAATAATTTTTCAAAAATTTATATTTTTGATAAAATACTTTCGTATAATATATGAGTTAAAAAATAATAGTATTAATATATATATATATATATATATATATATTATATTATATAATTTTAATT